GGATAATAAACCGTTTTATTGTAATTTGTCTTTTTAAATTATTAGATGATATTAAAATTTGGAAAAGGGGATCCCTAGATCGGTAAAATAGGCGAATTTCCTTCTACAACTTCAGTTGTTGTTCGGTATACAGTTAAAGTTTTAACAAAGTTCGAGCGAATACGTAATTAGCAAAAAAAAGTTGAAATAAAGTGATTAAACAAACATTATTACAAATATCGTAAATAACAGTTCACAAATGCATATATAGAAATATTTTTTGAAGGGGGAAATGGTCTTCACAATTTGAAATTGATCGAACACACTGTGCTCAAATGCTCATGTAAACGCGTGCCATCTATCATAGGATAAATGCCAGAAACCTTCGTGGGAGTGTATTAAAAAACTTCCCAAAGCTTCATGGCAAACGTACTACACCAGAAACCTTTGCAGGAGTATATTAAACAACTTCCCAAAGTTTCACGGCAATCGGATAAACGGTAATGCATGAAGGACAAAAAGACACACACACACACATTCATTTTTATATATATAGATAATAAATAAATATTTTATTCAATTATATATTGACCATTTTGGTCAATTACCTGTTGCCATCGTTTCTGTTAGTAGCATGATTCCACATTTATAAAAGTTTTGATGTTTGCTTATAAAAAACAGATCCAAGTAATTTTTGACATTTTCATTTCAAGTAAACGTCTTACAGTTTAAAAAATTTTGTAAAGACCGGAACAAGTAATAATCTGAGGGTGCCTGATCTGGCAAATATGGTTGGTGTGATAGCACATCCCATCTGAGCTGCAACAGTTTCTGATGAGTTACCAAACTTGTGTGAAATTTGGCATTATCATGGTAAAACACTACACTTGTTTTGTTAATCAATTCTGGCCTTTTCTGTTTGATAAAATTACTCAATTTGTTTACTCAATGGCAGTACACTTCAAATCAATTGTTAAATTGTCTGGTAAAAGTTAAAAAAAAAATTTCCTTAAAATCCCACCAAAGAGAGCATCACTCTTTAAGAACATGTGGAACCCATATATCAAGCTTTGAAATGAAACCAATTTGTTTCAAGTAATCATAAACGGTTCAATTTGACAAATTTAATCTCTTAGTGATTTCACGTGTTGTTATTTGGCAGTTTGCTTCAATCAGTACCTTTATTTTGTTTTCATTGGCTTCAACTGGCCATCCAGAATGTGGTGCATCTTCAATATTTCAATTGCCATAACAAAATTTTGTAAACCAGTTTTGGCACTGTCTTTCTCTCAACACATCATCTCCATACATGTACCACAATTTTTTTCTTGCTTGAACAGCATTTTGAGTTTTTGGTAATAAAAAAGCAAAATATGCCAAAAATGGTGTTTTTGATTTTCCATATTTGATGGGACACCGAAAAAAAAAAAATGCACAGAATCAAACAATTTTTTACGAATAAGCCTTTAAATGTCTGTTGTCAAAATATATAATGAAAAATATGGTTTAAAATGAAATTGGCTGGTAAAATACATCCAATTTCTCTAGTAATAAAAAATGAAATTACTTTCTGAACAAACCAACAGAATGTATTTTTATAAGTTTAAAAAAATTTATATTACCAATTCCTCTAGTTTTTGTTTAGTGGAGTTAATCAATTTGGCAAATGAGTGGCTCATATGTAACTTGCTATTATTTTTGATTCGTCACATTTTTAAACATTTAATTCAAAAAGGTTTTTTGAATGCTATTAAAAAGTATTTTTTCATTTATGTAATTTTTTTATAATGTTAAAACTTGCAAAACTAAACCTTGTCCAATTCAGTATAGTCAAAAAATTTAATTACATGTTTGATAAAGATTTCCTGTATTTGTTTAGCTTTAAATAATAAATATTCATCACCTTAATTGTGACTAGTGTTCTTCTATCACTTCTTCTTACAGGAAAATAGTCAGTTATAGTCTTATTCTTTGGTTCTGGATTTGTCTTCTTTGAATTACTATTAAAATTATAAAATGATTTTATCATCATTAGTTAAAAATTTTACATTTACAGAAATGACATATAATATCTAAAAATCTAACCTAATTTTCATTTTTGTGCCAGGATTAGTCTTTGGCATTAATCTTTGCTGTTTCAGTTTTCCTTTAGAAGTAATTATTTTTTCTTCATTCTTTGGCACTAATAATAATAATAATAAAGATTAATTTAATTAAAATCAAATAAAAGTTATCAATTACAATAAATATAGACTTTTTATATGAAAACATACAAAAACATGCATGTTGACAAAAACATTATATACTGTATATATATTAGTTATATTTTATAATAAGTACATTATAAATATACCTTGCAAAAATGGTGTGTGAAATTAATTACCATAATTATGTAAATAAATTAGAATAACTATTTCCATTAGTACTGTAAGAGTTAAGACAACACTTGGTAGACAATATAATATTTATAATAAACACTTCAATCCTAAAGTCATAAAATTGTATTCCAGCAAGATTTTAAAATGAAATAAAATTTTTTTTACTAATGTTTTCAATCTTCAATTGTAGATTGGAAACATTCATAAAAAATTTTTTCTTTCAATTTTAAACCTCACTGGAGTACAATTTAACATGTTAAGCAACACAATAAAGAAGCATAAAATATTACACTAGACATGCTCTTTTTTTATGGACAAAATAGCACAAAAATTGTAGTCATTTAATATACAATAATTTTGTCTTCATTGTTGAAAAACATTTTTCCCTCAATTTTTAGGCATGTTGCAGAATTGCAAGACAAGCCCTGAATGAGCATATTTGATCGTGTTATGCCATCTTTATTGCTCATCAGGTTATAAATTCAACAAAACTTTTACACACACAAATGCATACATTCTAGGTTGCATAAATGGACCAAAACAAATGAAGAAATATAAAACAATCACTAAAATAATATACTTATTGTTTTTTTACTATTTTTGTTCACTAAAAGAAAATAAAGATTGTTTCTCATATATTTGTGCTCTTTATATTTTCATATTATTGTACTTATTCACATTCATTGTGTAAGAAAAACATTAGAAAAAATTTTGCATATTTCTCATTTTATACATATGAGGGTAGGCTGAAAAGTAATGCACACATGCTTGTAGAGCACGAACAAAATGATTTTTAGAAGCGCGCCAGATGGCATATGGAAGTAACATTCCCCCTCTATGTGTATGTGCAGTTTGAGGTTGTTGCGTACATTCAGTATATTTTGAGAAGCGGAAATATGGAGATGTGTTCTAGTGTTATGTCAATGGTAGTTAAACAGTGTGCTGTTATCAAATTTTTAACTGCTGAAAAAGTGACTCCTACTGAGATTCATTGTCGTTTAAAGGCTGTTTATGGTGACAATGCTGTTGATAGGTCTACTGTAAATAGATGGATAATAAAATTTCGTGGTTGCGAGCCTGGAAAAGCCATAATTGTTGATGAAACACATAGTGGATGTCTGATCACTGCCACAGACAATTACCGTTGTCCCTCATTGCAATGTTTAATTCTTCTCAGTATATACAGACTCTAAAACACCTCCAACGTTCAGTTTGTCATGTTAGAGGCAGCCTGGTGCCAATAATCTTGCAACATTACTGCTCGTCCACACACCTCACGTGCAATTGGAGAGGCTCTGCGAAACCTAAAGTTTGAACCGATTCCACACCCTCCTTATTCCCCCCCGATCTTGCGCCTTGCGATTTTTATTTTTTTACTGTACTCAAGAGAGACCTCAAGGGTGATCATTACACCTCAGACAATGAGGTGAAGGCAGCTGTCAAGTCCTGGATTCGAAAAAAATTAGAAGAATTTTTCAGTGACGAAATGAAAAAACTTGTTACATGTTGGAAGAAATGTGTTAGCCTTAACAGTGACTATGTTGAAAAATAAATATATGATTTTGAAGCTTAAAAATTGTACTTTAATGTACTTTTTGCCCAATATTGCTATTTGTTTTTGTTCGTGTTCTACAAGCATGTGCGCATTACTTTTCAGCCTACCCATGAACATACATGTGAAAGAAAAGGCTGTACTCAAAACTGTAGCCTTAAAAGATAAGAAAGATGGGTGAAGGAAGAAAGGAGAGTGATTTGAGGAAAAGTTAGGAGGGTGGGATGGTTGGAGGTTTGAAAGTGGAAAAAGGAAGACATGAGCCGCAAAGGGGAACTGTTGGATAACACTAGGAAATACAATGGTATACACGTGCAAAACAATTTGTATTTACAGAGAAGGAGAAGGCTCATAGCGTACTACCTTGAGGAGTTGGACAAATGAGATCGACTTAGAAAAAAAAAAGGGTGGTGGGGGCTAAGAGAAAGAAATAAGGCTTTTGGGGAGAGGTCATTGTTGACTCAGAAGATGAGCTACCATTAAATGCCACTTGGCTGGTAGTAGTATAGTGCGTAAGTTTCAGGTGTTCCACGAAAGTCTTGAATTCTTGATCTGGTCCTCAATAAAGATGTATAGTTTGCACGGTCAAGGATACCCACATTCCACAATAGTCCTATGAAGGTTTGCACGGTGGCATGAGTGAACCGGGCAGATGAAGATAAGGTGTATTGGATATTCCTTCTCATTAGTATCACAGAGGCACAAACAGTTCCCCTTCTTCAAGAACCTGTTGAGGTAGGCTCTGAAGTTGCTGTGTGCTGTAAGAATTTGGGTCATAATGTAATTGGTAGTAAAATGGTGGTTGCTGATCCTATGAGAGATGCTGGGGAAAAAGTTGTGGGTGAGACGCCCTGTCAGGCTTTCATCCCACTCCTTTTGTCAGCAAGATGTTAAAATTGAGTCCAGCTTACCTTGAACCCAGGACAGGGGGATCGAGGAGTAGCTACACACCGTGGATAAAGAGGAGGTCTTTTTGGCCAGATTGTCTGCCTTGTCATTGCCACTTCTTCCTGAGTGGCCCTTGATTCAGTAAAATTTGATATTGACAGTATCTGAGATTTCATATAGGATCTTTAAGCTATTGTTGATTATGGGAAGGTGGCAGTTACGCTTACGAATCTGGTAAAGGGCAACTCGACTGTCGCTGATGATGTTAATGTTGTTACTGTTGTAAATGTTTTTACTGTTGTTTTTACCGTTGTAACTGGTTATACTATCCTGGATATGTCTAAGAGTGTTAAGGATGGCTAGCGACTCCGCTTGGTTGATGAAGCAAGATAGATCCAGCTTATAGGCACCTTGCCAGAAGGTTTTCTTCATTGGGTCATCGAAGATAACAGCCGCACTTACAGCTCCTGGATATTTGGGTCCATCGGTGTAGTAGTTTATATCTTGTGGGATGGTGGATTGATGAAGACAGATGTTGGAGTCTGGGTCATTGGCAGGATGATGGGTATGCAAGTCATAGTTAATGTCCAGTCCATGGTCCAGGAGGAATTTTCCTAGGACACTTATGTCCACAGGCAGTCTAAATTTTTTAATTAGAAACTGCAAATGGTTCATGTCAATTTCTGATATGGCTAGTTGCTTTAGCTGTGAAACAGGTATTTCTTCAGGATGACCCAATGGTTAGGAGTCATCCCTGCAATGAGGAGGAGGGCATCAGTGGGTGCAGTCCGATAGGACTTGGTGATGGCAACCGCTGCGGTGTGCTGTGCAGAGAGGAGCTTTTTTGTGGATGTGCACCTTCTGAACAGCACACTCCACACCTCACATCTGTATGTGAGGATAGATTCAATAGCCCCTTTATAAATAGTCTTTCTGTGCTTGGAGTCTAAGCTCCAGAGGTTCCTAGAAATATGCTGGAGTAAAGAGTTCATCTTCATCACTTTATCATATATATAATAGGGGTGGTCCTTCCAAGAGAGTTTTGGGTCAAATAGCACACCAAGATATTTGATGTTATTTGTGTTTTGAATCCTGTGATCATTAATTTTAATTACTGGCTTCTTTTTCAGGAGGTTACCCTTCAGAAAGACCATGGCACAACATTTACTATAGTTGATGTTTAGCCAATGGTTTACACTCCACTTGTAGATTTCTTTTAAGAAATTGTTAGGTTCTGTAGGGTAGTTTGGTTGGAGCTTGAGAGGAGGAGGACTGTATCATCGGCATAACCCTGCATATATGGGTTGCCAATAGAGATATAGTTATTAGTTTTCTGGTTGAAGCTTTGGTTGTTACAATCCATGATTAGTCATTGGAAGACTAGCAAGAGCTGTTTATTCATATTGGATATTCTGGGTTTGCTTAGCTTTCTGAATTTTTAACAATGGACAGTTTTTATCAAAAGGCATTGTGATTTGTGTTGAAGGCCTTGCTCTCTGGAACTATTTTATTGTGCTTCGTGCAATTTGCGCACTTCGGATCTTTCCGTAAGTTTGGGCAGTCTCTAAACTTGTGCTTTCTAGTGCAATGACTGCATTGTTGTTTTTCCCCACATTTATCTAATGCATGACCATATCCTGAACAGTTAAAACACCTCGTTATGGAGATGTAGTCATCAAGGGTGACAGAACACCAACTGATAAAGACACGCCTTTTCTGCATTAACAGATTTCTTATTTGAGGTGTCTAGGATGACTTGTCTAGCTTCAGAGTTGTTCCTTGTAGTTAGACAGTGATAAATTTTGCAGTCATTTTTAAATTCTTCTTGACAGTGACACTCGTGTAGTCTTGTGTTCTGCTGATAGATAGCTGTAAGGAGTTCGTCATTGTCCATGCTATTTGGCACGTTAAACATAATAATTTTGGGCAGTGTTTTGCGACGATCCAGGATTTTTATTTTTTTTTGAAATTGCAGTATTATCTCGGATAGCTGTTTTAAGTGCTTCAGCACCATCCTCCCCTTGGACCTGAATGCTAATATTGTCACTTGGTAAGGGCCTTACTTGGTTTACTTTGATCCCCAAGCATATTGGATCAACGTGTTCTTGTAACGAGACCATCAGTTCTTCTGGGATGGGAGTGGGTTCTCCTGGTTTGATATTTGCAGTCAATATTAAGTTTTGATTTTCTTTTTTACGGTTTTTAATCCCTTCCAATTTTCCAGTGTTTTCGGAAATAAGTTTTGTTGTTTTGCTGAGTGTTTTGGAGTTACTTTTTAAAACTTCTGCAAATGTTCTTTTATGTAGTTGCGAGTCAGGGAAAGAGATGTGCTTAATCCTTTCACGCAGCACGAGGACAGCACCA